AGGATTAATGGTTAAGTTTAGGTACTGGGGTCAGGGATAGGATGTCTATAGCGAATGTTAGGTAATTTTAGGCTTTGGGACATGTAGTTGACATGAATTTCCTACATTTTCTAAAAAATGGTTAATTTTAGGTAGTAGGGTCAGGGACAGGATGTCTAAAGTGAATAAAGGTCATTTTAGGCTTTGGGATGATAGTTTTTGTGCATTTTCTACACATTCAGAAATTATGAAAACAGAATCCGCCCCATCTCATCAAAAAAACAATGCAAGGGGAACACCTGACGCGTCAAAATCGAACACAGAGGGAACTTTGGAAAAGCGTCAATATGTGACGACTCGGGAGTGAGAATGGGTTGATGCATCAAATCATTTGTGAAACTGGTGCGGTAAGTCTCAAAAGTCACACGTAAAGGCAAGCTGGTCCGTGCACTCATGCTGACCAATCCATCCACAGCTGGCAATTCTTGCACGCGCATTTGCTGATTTATATGCTTAGTTTTTTAATATTTGTGCAGCTTGAATAGTGTACATGTACAGTATACTTCTGTTTATATGCTTCTGAATGTTGAAGTACACATTCACAAATAATGTACGCATTCAAAGCTTGCTGTATATGCTTGTGGATCTTATTGTATGCATGTAAATCTTGTAGTATATGTTTGTGAAACATTAAGACTGATTTATCTTCATAAACAAGAGCTTGAGATTCAAAAACCAGACACTCTCTTTTTGACAAATGCGCATTGAGTTTATGTCCATGAACACATTTATTCATTTGAAGCAATTTATTAGATTTAACAAAAATTATAAATATTTACATCACAATCATATTATTGTATTACTTTCTACATTTAAAAAGTTCAAATCATAGGTTTGAGAAAGCTCTTATCGTCTTGACAAGTCCACTTGTTGAGTTCAAACTGGGCACAACCTACTCAGTCACCACAAAATGATGATGGGGATCCATGACAATGGTCTGTGTGTTGACTGTGGCACTGGATTAGGGTCCTTTGTGGTGCTGGCCCATTCGCCACATAAACCAAAGAACAACCGGGCCAATTGTGGCATTGACAAATTTGGGCCACATAAAGCAAACCACAACTGGGCCAGTTGTGGCATGCTATCTGAAAAACAGTACCATCATTGCTAGACCTGACCCACATCTGGGTGACAAGCCACTTTCCATGCTAGCAGTCAGACAGCAGTGCCAGCTTGACACCAGATCTGGCCCACACCTGCTGTGTGATTTAGTGTTCACATAACTGTGTTCACATCAGTGTGTGAATTTGTATGTGTATGGGTGAATGTCTGTAGTGTTAAGCACTTTGGAGACCGTTGGGACCTGATAAAGCACTATATACAGTAAGTTCAGTTCAGTCCAGTCTATAATTACCACTGGGCAGCTGATGAATGCTGTCAGGTATCAAGAGTATATTTAGAAAAATGTTTTCTACAACATTTATTTTGATTTGCAACATTACAAATTTAGAAAAAAAGACAACCCCCACCAACATTTACAATACAGAAAGCTTCCTTGTAATCTGACACCAGCCAGCTTCCATTATTGGTTACTTTTTTATTGTATTAACTTTCCCTATAACCCTAAGCCCTTGTATGAAGCTGTGGTGAAGGGGGAAAAACTGCTTCTTTTCATGCATACTCACTATAATCCACTTTAGTGTCTGTTAGGAAACAGTTACAGCAATTAGTTATAGTGAGGGAGGTTTTCTTCATAATAAACTCTTCCTGCTCCATAACAGCAGCAATTACCCAAGATGCATTGCCCTCATCGCATCTCTGCAGATAATGTGTTTGTGTTTATGACGTGCTGATTGAGATTGAAACAATCATCAGGCCAATACAAACACAGCTGTTTTATTGTTGCGCTGCTCAGATGTGTTTTTGCAGCCAGACGACTTGTGTTTTGTGTGTGTGTGTGTGTGTGTGTGGGTGTGTGTGTGTGTGTGTGTGTGTGTG